GAGAGAGAGAGAGAGAGAGAGAGAGAGAGAGAGAGAGAGAGAGAGAGGAGAGGACGTAAAAGGAACGAAAGCCACGGCAAAAGAGGAAACACGAACCAAGAGGGTAACCAAGAGGGTAACCAAGAGGGTATATCGAGATGACGCAACCAAAGCCACAGCAACAACGACAATATCAAAAACGTAGCTCGCACCTTATCCGCCTGCTCGGCCTTATACCGCTTCTGGTCGTCCCTGGCTCGGGTGCGGTATGCCTCTCGCTCGTCGCTAGCCAGCGTCTTCCAGATCTCGCTCATGATCTGAGAGGTTGTCGATTCGTCGGTAAGCGTAGGAGGAGATGACGAGACAAAAAACAACATATGAATCGCGACGTTTTCGGAGATATACGCTTCCTTCCATTACGTATGTATTACAGCACAGCGGTTTTGCGTACTAGGGAACATGTGTCTGCATACCGTATTCGTTTCAACATATTCTTGCCGTCGGCTACTGGGGAGACACAAGTTGCAACTCGTGTGAACAGATAAGCTCTTCACAAATCCTTACCCTGCTCCCCCCCAAAGGCAAGAGCATTGCGTTCATCGCGAACGCAACGAGTAAACACGAAGCTAGAAGATGGTGTCTTTCTATCAGTGCCAAGACGACAGCAGTGGTCTACATTCAGTCACAAAGAAACCCATCGGAGAAGGCGTGAATGCACTCGGGGATGGCAGCACATCGCCGCCTCGAACATCCAAACCACAAAAAAACATTGCGGAGTGGTCTCGCGACTCTTGAGGCCTGGGGTAACCGACTGACTCTCGACCCCCCCCCCCCCCCCCCCCCCCCCCCCCNCCCCCCCCCCCCGGCCGCACCACCCCGCGCTCCTGCTGTCATATCCCGTCTCTTCACACCTTCTGCTGCTGTGTGACGGCGATGTCCGGGTTGTCGCGCTTGACCTGCTCGCGCCGCTCCTGGATGAACAGCATCCACGCCGACTGCGGCTTCGACTGCCCCCCCGACGACGCCTGCACAGCTCAAAAAAGAAAAAAAGAAAAAAGTTTGGTGCTTGTTGAACTCGTCGGCTCGCGTCAGGTTCCACCACACATGGCACACATACGCCCTGTTGCCAACAGGCTGTGAGCGTGTGTGTTTTCTATGATCCGCATCGACCACGCGAACCTGCTGAACAAAGAAGAGCCGTCAGTCTCAGTTCGGCTGAAAAAAGAAAGAGCTTCTAAGGGCTGCCGTGATCTGGGACCCGGTGAGGGGGTGTCATGGGGGAGGCTAAGCTACTTATGTGTGCGTTCGTCTCATCTGAAATGGCGCCAGTCTACAAACCTTTTCACGAACGATTTCTGACGTATCAGCAGGGGGTTACACAGGACGGACATGTTTCATTTTTCTTGCTATTCTACACCTTTGACACCATACCCCGCCCCGATACAAACCGCGTCATAAATAAGCGAGCTTTGCACGTCCACAACCAATACCACACCCCTCGCAAATATAGCCCGCGCAATGCATCCACCCCTCGCACCCCCTCTGCCGCAGAAAAGGCTCTTACACTTTGGGTGACACCACGGCAACCTCGTGTTGCGAGTTACTGATGCATCAAACAACACATCGTGCTTTTTTTTTTTCTTTCCCGCGGCTGGACCATCCCGTGCTGTGCTCCGTTTTGATGAAAACACCAAACAACAACGTGGGGTTGTGGTGGGCTTGTTGTCCCAGTTGCCCGCCTGACGTGCTTGGTTTGATTTTGATATCCGTAGAACTGCATTACAAGAGCCCCCAACCCCGCCTCGCTCACCCGCTTCTTGCCCGACGACGTCCCCGCCCCTCCTCCCGTCGTACTCGCCGCCGCCAGGATACCGTCCGAGCCAGCCGCGCTTATGGGCCCAACCCCCGCCCCAGTCGGTCCCACTGCCGTCGTGGCCGGCGTCGGTGCCGCCGCCACCGCCCCCGGTCCCGCAGGTTCCGCCGTTGGTTCCGCCGCTTGTGGTGTCGCCGCTTGTGGTACCGCCACTGGTGTCGCCGCCGCCGGTGTTGCCGCCACCGGTACCGGCACCGCCGGTGTTGCCTCTGGACCCGCGGCGGTCGCCGACACCCCCGCTACACCGCCGGTCACCCCTTCGACCCCCACCCCGCTGCCGCCTCCGCCGGAGGCGGGGGCGGCGCCGTCGAGGCCGAGGCTCAGAGGACCCGCTTGCTGCACGATTGTGGTAGGGTTCTGCACGGTTGCATCCGTGGGGGGTGTCGTAGTCGTCGCCGCGGCCGCGGCGGCCGCAGCAGCCGCGGCGGCATTCGACACGGAGTGGGACATCGGAGGGAACTGTGACGACGACGACGACGACGCTGCTGCTGCTTGTGGCGCGCCGGGGGCGGGGGATGAGGCGCCGTTGCCGCTACTGCCACCGTCGCCGCCACCGTCTGCGCCCACGAAGGCTGAAGCTGCGGCGGCGCTAGCGGCCGCCGTGGCCGCCGCGGCGACCAGGGAAGAGGCGGGCGCGCCAGCAGCGCCCGTGTCGGCCATGGTTTGGTGTGGAGGGGGCCCCGCCTGCCTTCGCGAATGCACCAGGCCTCTTGCGAAACTGCTGTTCGGCGCGGTTGACGTACGGGTTGGGGGTTGGAGAAAGAGGGGCTGGAGAAGGAGGTCAAAAGACGTTTCCCCTGGCGCGTGTTTCCACACGGGAACAATCGTAAGCACTGGCCTTCTTTGGACTGCTGTGTCCGTAAACAGCCTTCCCCGTTCCCAAAGAGATTCAAGTCGCCTCAACCGTCCGCAGAAAAGCCACTATTTCATGGTTTCACTATTTCGCTTTGGACAGACACCATGAAGTTCTTTCCGAACAACGTATACTAGGAAATCGCACCCGCCGCCACTGCTGTTGTTGCGGAGAAGTCTCGAGTGGCAGCAGCTCTAGAAACGGGATGTCCTGCCCTGCACACATGTGTGGAGGAATGTAATGGGGTTCACTTGCATCCGTCATGCCGTGTGCCGGGCCGTGGGGAGCATGAAATGGTTGAAGCTTGAGCCGTGCCGGAAACACTGTTTTCCACGGCACAACGGGTACATTTTTGCTGACATACGTCAACAGAGCACAACATCTACCGTTGGACTGGCTTTAGAGGGCGAGGGAAGGGCGAGGCACACGCAACGGCAGACCATTCTGTTTTGAGCTAAACGGTAACGAAGGACCCATCATACCGCAACTCATGTGTGCTGCTATGAGGTCGCCCATATGCTAGTTCTAACTACGTCTCACCTTAGCCAATATAAAGATGCTTCCCTTGTCAGCGTCGTTCGCCCCGAAGCCCGTGCGTCGTGCTTGCTGCTGCTGGTGGTGCTGTGTGCAGGTGTCCATCTCCTCTTCCCTGGAGAAAAGGGGCTACGCAAATTCAACTTGACTACATCTACCCATACACACCGTTCATAATAGTCTCGCCGCATCTCCGCCCCATGTCAATCTCGACAGCACATCCACACTGCTGCTCTCCGCTCTCTATCTCTCTGCCAGCTTTCGTTGGTTGACGCCACAATTGGTCAGCATCGCTCCCATGATTTCCTCGAGATGTGCCTGCGCAAGTGCTGCTGCACGCGTTGCTTTGTATTCCGCTAGAGGGAGCTCAGCAGCAGGAGCGGCAGCAGCAGCAGTAGTAGCGAGAGGTGGCAGTAAGACGTTGACTCATCGCTCGCTCCGCGCCAGGTCTTCGGCGCACTACCCCAGAACGAGGAATCAGGCACAGGCATGTGGTCGAGGGCAGCAGCAGCAGCAAGCCTCCACTCTGTCCGGAGACAAGCTGGTGGAACCTCCGACAGCGGTTGTTGACGGCAAGGTTGGTGGTGATTCCTTGAAGAACAGGGCAGTTGCGGCGTGGCTATTCGGCACAGCCGGGGCGGTTGCGGTCATGGTGACCGTCGGCGGCATCACGCGTATGACCAAGTCGGGGCTAAGCATGACGGACTGGAAGATTCAGGGCTCGCTTCCGCCATCCTCCGAGGTTAGTCGGCGGCGTCCCTGCCGCGGGTGGTGCAGTCAGCGTGTGTTGAGGTTGCAGCATCGCGCCGCTACGACTTGGGTGCGCGGATGCGCCTTTCGCCTTTCCCAGATTAGTTCTGCTGATCTACAGCAGTAGACCTGTACAGGAGACAGCGTGTCCACGATATTTAGCACAACGGCCTCTGTCGAACGTTTTGCGCTGGTGGCACCACTGCTGTCAACCCCGTTGTTTTCCAGGCCCGTCCGCACGGGGCAGTTGTACATGAACCACTGTTGTTTCGCAAGAGGTGATGAGGCCCGCTGCGCGTAGATGATAGACGCCCCTCCGTCCCCGGCAACAGCAGTCGCGCGCCGGGAAAATATCGCGCCGATGCAATCGCTTCCAAATCCTTTTGTACTCAGGAGAGCCACGCGTATAATTACAGGCGAAACTCATTTTGTCCGCATCTTCGGCCAACTCGAGTGGGTAAGCGATGTAGACTAACCTAGGCGTTGCGATGCAACAGACACTCGCGCAGCGTGCCGTCTTGTTGATTGATTGATCAGCCGGTTAACGCGGTCGATCTTGTTCTATCTGAACAAAATACACCGCGACCCACAACGCACTTCGCGCGTTGTAGATCTTTCGAGCGATGCAAATAGTGTTCGAATCATGTTCTCGTCGGTTTGTGTGTGTTTTCGCTCTTTTGTGAAGGCGGAGTGGGAGGCGGAGTTCGACCGGTACAAGGCGTTCCCGGAGTGGCAGCAGCGCCGTAGCATGACGCTAGACGAGTTCAAGCACATCTTCTTCTGGGAGGTAGGCTGGGGTGTGCACATGGCGGTGTGTTTTAAGCGTCGTGCACGAGGCGCGTCGGGGAGAAGAAAACATCATGAGATCGTGCTTCTTGTGCGTCATCAAAGAGCCGGTGGCGTTTCAGCGTTAGCAATGGCGACGAGATGTAGCTGCAGTAGAGCCATTCCTTTATCCTCAACCGCCAACTCGAGAAAAAAAACTGTTTCGCTTGTGTCCCACCCGCTATCCCTCGTGGCGCTTCTCCTGGATGACGACAGTACGCCCACAGGATGCTGGGGCGTGCGCTGGGCGTGGTCTACGGGGTGCCGCTGCTGTACTTCGGCCTCCGCGGACGAATCCCCGCGCACATCCGCGGGCGGGTGGCCGGGCTGTTTGCCCTCGGCGGCGCACAGGGCCTGGTCGGGTGGTGGATGGTCAAAAGCGGACTCGAGGTAGGCTACTAGCGGTGGTGGTCCCGGCACCGGAATTAGCAGTCGGGGGACGAAAACCCCTGTCTAGCTGTTGGTGTGTGCCCCCGGGAATGGATGGCCGGCTGACCGTTTGGATAGTTGACGAGGTTGGTTTGGTACATTGTGGGCTTGCTTGGGGTTGTGCTGTTAGGGTGGCATTGCTTCCCCTTGAGCCGATGGGTATGCGTATGACCCCCAGATTCTACCGCCCCGTGGTCGGCCATGCAATGAGGGCCAAGCAACTAATCAACCTGTAACTTTTTATGTTCGCGGGGGTAGTCGTATCCGTTCTATACAACTACCCCGCCCCCGCCCGGTGTTTACCATCGGGGTTGGGTTTCGTCGCTTGGCAACGACGTTGTAAAACAAGCCAATTCACTTCGTGAACTCGGCAACCAGGTTACCGTTTTTTTTTTTTACCTCCGTTTTTTTTTTTGGCGGTAACCATAATGGTGGTCGAGTAGATCATGTTGTGCGGGGTGGAGAACCCTCACTCCGCGCAAGGGGGATGATCGCACCACGTTGTGTTAAAATGGTCAAGCACCCTCGAGGCAGTTACACAGTGCTTACAACTGTCTCTGGAAGTGAAAGCACCAGAAAATAAATTAAGTCATACGCAGCTGTCATCCGTACGCAAGGAAGTAAGCACAAGATGCCGAACACCCTTAGCAGGATGCAGCGCACCCTTCATGCGACTCGCCGAATATCTCACGGCGCTTTGCGCTTGGTGATGTGAGAGCCTGGTCCGGTGAGACCCCGGCGTGCTCCGTCCCGGCTTTGTAGGGATGCGAGGTCAAATGTCTAACGACCACGGCATGCACGACCATGAGTACACGCCCTCTGCCCCCCGGTGTTTTCCATCGGGGTTGGGTTTTCGTCGCTTGGCAACGAGGTTGTAAAACAAGCCGATTCACTTCGTGAGCTCGGCAACCAGGTCACC